TCAGCCCATATTAACATAGATTTATAATAGAGTAAAGTATGAACTTTAACCATATTAGATAATTAACTAAGAATTTACAACATAATACAGGCCAAGACTATACTTTTTAATTGTAGAAGACTCAAAAGAATGATCCAATAAAAAGGCAAGTGAAAAATATGGTTAGTCAAGCAAATCTAAATACTTACATAATTTCATTATGATGTTAGGAGTGATTTAGTCAAGCAGCTTATAGTCAATTATTTCATTTACATTTACATTATATCTGTTACAAAATAAAGTGATTATAGACAAAATGATTGCATTTTGTATGCATATGACAAAACGAAAAGCTCATATATATTTCAAAACAAGTCATCTGAAATATAGCAAAGATTTATTTGAATAGACAAGATCAACAAAAATGTACGTACTATACTTTTATGGTTCTTGTACGATTTCTCCATCCTAGTAGCAACATTAGAAGGTAGAGATCCTGCTTTTGCTTCTTTCTTGATTCTCAATAGAAGTTATACAAAAATACAAGAAATATTCAATAGTAAAATAACTTTTTAGGATTTGATGTAAAAATTGTGCTAGAAAATAAAAGTACTATAAGAATTGAAATTTTATATAAACTATGCCTCAAAGTATTAAATTCAGTAAGTGGCTATATTTAATATTCAGATCATTCTTCCAATTTCACATAATATATCAGAAGATTTTCTAGTTTTAGAATCATTACCTTGAACTTCGTATTATAAAGCAATCTTCATTGTGTAATTTGCTTTTAGTTTTGCTCTAGACAATAAAATTATGTGGCAAATATATTAGAAATAGGTGATTTACAAGAAGAAGAACTAAAAACACTTGCCAAATGTCCTTCACATAACCAGGAAAAGGACAATTGTTGTAAAGCTTCAATAAATAGCATAGATTCAATGCCAATTGTCAAAGCAAAAAATACACTCCCATGTAATGAATTGACTAAGATAAAATGGATGAAGAAGAAGTATCTCTACTTTACAAAAATTCTTACCCACAGTACCTATCATATGAACATCTGTCGGTCCCTTCTTCCCATCCACATGAATTATGGCAACTAATTAAATTCAATCTTTTATGGCATATGTGATGTGTAGTACCACCTATATTAACATCCAAAAACCTCAATAAATTACTCCTCATCCATGCAATACGAGTATGCAAGCAACACATAACAACAATTCCTTTTGAAGATGTTCTCAATTTTGATGACGATGGTTTATTTTGGGATTCAACATTTATTTAGTGGGACGTTTACAACTAATTATATGGCAACAATATAATAACAAACATGTTGAATTCCATTCCATGAAACATATTGGTATATTCATGATTCATAAGTTTGAGTATTGCTTCCTTGTGCCTAAGCCCATTTTGATTATAGTTTTTACTCCTAGTTAGATTCTTCCAGAAAACCTTGGCATCAAAATCAGAGTCCATAAAATCAAAATAAGATGAAGAATCAGCAAAGCATCAAATAGAGAAAGGCTTCCAACTCTAGAAAGAATCCATCTTACAAAAGCTCAATGGTAGATGGAGGTTAGTGATGATGAAGAGATGTTGAATTGGCAAAAAAACACGATCACTAGTACTTAAAAGGAGAATGGAGCGAAATAGAATGGGGGAAGCATTAGCGCATTTGAGACAAAAACACCATCACCGTATCTGTTTTTGCTTTCATTCCCATTCTCCACATGGATCAATTTCAAGGGAGACTGAGAATAATTTAGATTTGGATCATTAAACTTGAAGATTTTCAACGATTTAGCAGTGAAATGGTCACTAACAACAATGAAATGGTCACTCCCAGTAAGAATAATCTTCATGGCGGTCGTTGAAGGGATGAGTGGAATAAGAGTTGACATTCAACTCCTCGTCATCGACGGTGAAGATATCGAAGGGAGACATCTTTACTAACTTTTCTCTTTCAAGAATGTGGAATGGGTGAGGGCATTTTGGTCCATTTATCACATTCTTTTTTGAATATTATAATAAGTCTGGTCCTTAACTTTCATGTGATCTTTATGTACAATTTTCTTCCTAACCTGGTCCTTTTTACCAATTCTCCCTAATAGTTATACATAAAAAATAATTATATTAACCAACCCATTTAATAATAATGAAAAAAATTGAAATTAATGTTTTTACCCCCTTGATGTTTAATCATTAATATATAATATTATTAGTTATTGTTGGAAAAAAATTATTAGCTATCGATCAATATTATGAAACATAAAATTTATAAAAAAGGTTATATTACTAATTATAAATAATTAAGCTCATTTTTAAGATTTTTGATAACAGAAATTATCTCATTTGAAATGGCAAGGGGTAGATTTTCTCAGTTAAAGTGTTAGTTATATAAAAGTTAGTTTTTTTTTTTAACTCACAACCAGTCATTAAAGCAGTGAGAGCTCTTAATACTCAATTAATTTTTGATTGAATTCTAGTATTAATAACATATAATATAAATATATAAATTATATTATACTAGTATAGTTTATATATTGATATGGTGATGTTTAAAATATTCAAAAATCATTATTAAATGCACTAGGATAGTAGGGTTAATTATGCGATGTGGGCGAAACTCATTGTTGAAAAATGGAGGGGAGGACTGGGAAGGTACAATTATTGGCGTCGACACATAAAAAAAAAAAAGGAACAAAAATTAGGGATCGTTGCGAGTGGAGTTTGCCTTCAACCTGGCCCCCGCCCCCCATATAACAGAAACAAATCCTGTCCCTTTCTAACTCTCCGACTCCCATTGTTTCAGTGGTGGAGTTACCAATTTCCACCCTAGTTTACTAATACGGCTTAATTCAACGTATTAATACTCTAAAAAATAAAAATTTAATAATTGAAATACAATTACATACTTCTTCCAATCTTTTTTATAAGTCCCTTTTAACTATTTTATCAAAACTAAAGAAATATAGTTTGATTGTTGATATTGTTTTAAAATGAAAGAAATTTCTCACCTTACCTTTAATAAATCTATCATCTTTAAAAGCATTTTTTGTTTATGAAGCTTTTTACTCGTCAAAAAGTACAAAACGATAAAATTGGAAGAAATTTATTAATGATTAAGTTTTTAATGAATGACTTATCAAAAACGACTATAAAATCCTTCTACAGTGCAACTTATCTATAGGACTGGAGGAGGTAAAAAAGACAAATTAAAATTTAATATTTTATCATTTCATGTTCTAAAATTTTGGGTAAGAAATATAAAGTAAATAATTTAAAAAACATTGTGAAAAATTTGGATTTGATTTTGTAATTAAAAAGTAAATAATGATATTTTTATAAAATAAATATAAAGTATACTAAGATTTTAATATCTTGGGTTAGAATTTTTTATGCTTAAGCTAAATGATTATGGATTTGGAAAATTTGTAACTAATATATTTAGATCTTGGTCAATATTTGAATGATCTCAAGTAATTAAAGATAAAAGTATAAAATATAAAAATAGAGGGTGTAAAATATTAAGATCCCATTTGGTTAATTACTAGAATAGAATAAAATGAAAATGATTGAAAAAATTAAAATAAAAATGAATTGAATTACTATTTTTTAATAATAAATGTGATAAAACTTATTAATATATATTATAAATATATAAATTATTATACTTTTTAAAAATATAATAAATCATAATTTTTAACCTTATAAATTAATTTTTTTAATAAATATGTTCACATGTTATTTTTTATCATCTTATTTTTTATTTTTCTTTTCATTTCTTTGCACTTGTAATTTTAGTCAAATTGGGGGGTACATTTGCCCTCCTAAATTCAACGTGGCTCGCCACTTACTGCATTGTCCAAAGCTTGAACAATAACTCTTGCAGCGGGCGTGTGTCTCCCTTACTTTAATTTCTTCTTTTCGTTTTCAGCTTTTTTCTTGTCTTAATTTTTTTTTTCTTTTTGAGTTTTGGAATTTGAATGTATTTGGAGCTACTTGTCCTTTTATTAAAAAAACAATAACTTTTGGGGGGCAAAAAAAAAAAAAAAGATCTTCTACGGATATGCTCGTCGCGTTACTCGTCTCCTCTCTTTATTGCTAAGAATATGCGGCAGCGGAGGGGGAGCCGTTCAGTAATTATCACAACAGAATCAAAATGAGTTCCATGAGGGTAGCTCAAGAGAACTCACCATGACACCATGCCATGCCATGTACGTGCAGCTTCAGAATTTAAATCTTGACCGTACGATTAAATCAGGAATATCTCCGTAGTTTTGCCTGATATGTAATCAAAGCCTTCTAATGCACTAGCTTCTCAATTATTTTTTTTATCATTAGATTTTACATAAAATGATAAACATTTTAATATTTTACGTTGATGAAATAGTATAGTTTTGCATTTTTTTAATATTTTTCAAGAAAATAAATAAAAACGTACAATTTTAGAGAATTTGTTTTAAACTAAAAAATAAAAAAGTTTACTGTTTTATTGTTTTTAAAATATTAAGATGTCTTTCATTTCATACAAAATCTAATTAATGATAAAAGAAAAAAAGAAAATAGAAAGATGGGACATTATTAGAAGAAATAGAGTGCCGCATTAGAGGAGCCAAGCATTAAAATAATAATAATAATAAGCAACGGGCAAATGCCAAAGGTGACATGACATCCCATGTGGTGTTGGAGACTTAATTTTTAAACACACAATCATCTAAAGGCAAAGAAACCTGACACGACGACGTAAAATATTTGAGCATATATTCTACATGTTTTGGGTGGAGGAACCCTCGGAAGGTACTGCCCCAAACAGAGAGAGTCCCCTCTGAATGGACCACAGAGCCCCACATCTGCCCAATTCCAAAGGACTATCATTTTTGTCTGTCTCGCGGCACATATACTAGCTTTATTCTTGATCAAGTATCAATCATCCAGTAATAAATGGAAACGAAAAAACCAGATAGACTCTTGGGAACAGGGAGAATATACGCGTGCTCACGTAATATCTTATCTAAAGAAGCACGGGTCTTCCGCCCCCCCCCAGGGTCCTGTGCGGGGGGCAATCATGCATTGAACATGGAAAGGAACAGAAGCACAAATGCGTTTGGAAAATAGGGAGAAGGCAAATCCACAATGATGACGACGCTGTTATGCTGTTAGAGGGTCGAGAAAATGAACGGGATAAGGATGGTAGATAGGGTTTCTGGGGAAAGCGAGTCCTCCTTTTAGAGGGTCGAAGACGTAGACCCCCACCCCTCCATCACATGCACCAGACCACGATCCATATGGAAAAGGATGACTCACTCTCTCCATTTTATAATCCAATCCACCACCGCCTCCTCAAAAGGTATCTAATTCTCTCATTCCATCATTCACATGCCGACAAAATCCCCCCACTCGCCTCCATTTACTTATTATATATACCTCCCTTCTGCTTCCCTTTGTGTGTGTGTGTGTACATATCTTCGCCGTCTGCTTCTCTGATATATTCGAAATGGCGGTTATCGAGTGGTTGCTCGGCGGTATCGCTTCTGCTTCGACAGTCGTGACGGTGTTAACAATGGTCGTGGGAGTGCTGTGGTATTTGTACGGACCGTATTGGGGAGTGATGAAGGTTCCGGGCCCGCCAGCTGTTCCGCTGCTAGGTCACCTTCCCTTGCTCGCCAAGTATGGTCCTGATCTCTTCTCTCTCCTTGCCAAGCAGTATGGCCCAATCTACAGGTTCGTCTCACTGTTCCTTCCATGATTTGCTTGCTTCGTTCATCTCTCTCTCTCTCTCTCTCTCTCTCTCTCTCTCTCTCTCTGTGCGCCTGTGCGGTGAGACGCGGAGGCCACTCATGAAAAATTTGAAGCTGTTCCTGTGCGTATCTGGCAACTGAGATTCGAAAGTGCAAATCTGCTTTTTTCGGGGGATGATGTTGAGAAGAATCATGGGAAAGGGGTTAAATTTCTCGCAAACAATTATGATTCCTTGCTCGGCGTATTCTATTCCTTCGTCTCATTTGTTGCCTCGCTTTGTTCCGTCGGAGGAAGGGCCCAGCCGTCCTTTCATCGTTTTATCCTGCTTCTTCCATATCTTTGACCCTCCTTTTGTCACTGTCATTCGCTTCTCAAGCACTAAATCCCGCAGACCCGAACCATTATCCCTTCTTCGCTACTCTCTCTCTCTCTCTCTCTCTCTCTCTCTAATATATGGAGTATCGTATACCTGGAAGATTGGTTGCTTTGTCTTTTTTGGTAATAGGAAGATTGGTTGCTCATAAAGGAAAGATTGGTTAGAGACAATAAATTCGATTTGTATTAGATAAACCAAAATTATAAATTTAAAAAAATAATGTTGTAAAAAAAAAAAAAAAGGAAGGGCGAAAGATGAGCCGACACAATTCATGTTCACTCAAGCCTCAAAAGCTACTCAAGTCGGTTACTAAAAAAATACAATGAAATATATTAAAAAAATTAGCACAAAAATAAATTAAATCAACATTCTCGGTGATGAATCTCATTAATACACTATAAATGTATGAATTATTATATGCTTAAAAAAATTTTATAAATTATAATTTTTAATTGTATAAACTAAATTTCTTATCTTTTTTATGAATTTAGTCACCCATTTTTTTTAATTATTTTATTTTTATTTTTAGTTTTTAATTTATTTTATTTTATTTCTTTTTAATATGCAATCGGGATCTTAATTCCAACACCTTAGCTTTGTGAATTATCTATTAGCTTGATTTTTAAGATAGCTGAAAGGGAAAAAAACAAAAACCAAAAACTAAAGAAGAAGGAGAAGCAGCAGCAGCATGCCCAACGGGTTTAGGGAACGCAAAAAAGAAAACCCAGAAGCGTAAGGAGAGATCAAAGATTCATAGTACTTCCGTAACTCAATTTCCGGTGCGGTTGATTGTGTTGTTATAATTTGGTGGAGCAGATTTCATATGGGAAGACAACCACTGATAATCATAGCAGATCCAGAGCTATGTAAAGAGGCCGGCATCAAAAAATTCAAGGACATCCGAAACCGAAGCATTCCCTCTCCCATTTCGGCTTCCCCTCTTCACCAAAAGGGTCTCTTCTTCACCAAGTATTAGCAACTAAACTAGTCCTCCTTTAAACCCATCCTCAAAACTTTTATATATTCACCCGTGTTGCTTTTCAAATTATAACCATTGATTTTATGATGCAGGGATTCGAGATGGACTATCATGAGAAACACAATACTGTCGGTGTACCAGCCATCACACTTGGCCAACTTAGTGCCCATGATGCAATCGTGTATAGAATCTGCAACCCAGAATCTCGATTCCAGCAAAGAAGACATAAGCTTTTCTGATCTCTCCCTCAGGTTGGCTTCTGATGTGATTGGAGAGGCGGCTTTTGGTGTCAACTTTGGACTCTCAAATCCTCATTTAGTGTGTAATCCAATGAAGAGTGGTAGCGCTGCAAATGCTAGCGATGGAGTAGCAGATTTCATCAACAAACACATATACTCCACCACACAACTAAAGATGGACTTGTCGGGTTCCTTCTCCATCATACTTGGTCTTCTTGTCCCTGCACTCCAAGAGCCATTCAGGCAGATTCTCAAGAGAATCCCTGGCACTATGGATTGGAAAATTGATCGTACGAACAAGATTTTGAGCGGTCGTCTTGATGAGATTGTGGAGAAGAGAATTCAAAACAGGGACCCGAGTTCTAAGGATTTCTTGTCACTCATACTGAATGCCAGAGAATCAAAAACAGTGCCAGACAATATCTTCACTCCAGACTATGTCAATGCAGTCACCTACGAGCATCTTCTTGCTGGTTCAGCGACCACATCCTTTACCCTGTCTTCCATTGTGTACTTGGTTGCTGAGCATCCGGAAGTGGAGAAGAAGTTGCTTGCAGAGATTGATGCATTTGGCCCACCTCATGAAAAACCCACGTCTAATGATCTTCGTGACAAATTTCCTTATCTTGATCAGGTCTGGTTTTAACTGTACTTCCTGAGATTTGCAACCAAACTAATTGCAGATTCGAAAGATCTGACCTTTAAAATGCAGGTGGTTAAAGAGTCAATGAGATACTACACTGTCTCCCCATTAGTTGCCAGAGAAACAACAAATAAAGTAGAAATAGGAGGTTACCTTCTCCCCAAGGTAATATGTACGTTCATGTTGTGTGCGTGTACGTGTTCACTTCATAGAGTCAACCCTTTTCTTTTATATGAGATTACTGATATGAAGTTACATGGGGCAGGGGACATGGGTGTGGTTAGCGCCTGGAGTTCTAGCTAAAGATCCAAGAAACTTTCCGGAGCCAGAAAAGTTCAAACCCGAGAGGTTTGACCCAAACTGTGAAGAATCGAAAAGAAGGCATCCTTATGCATTTATACCATTTGGAATCGGTCCTCGGGCCTGCATTGGCCAGAAATTTTCCATACAAGAGATCAAGCTTACTCTAATTCATTTATACCGCAGATACGTGTTCCGTCACTCCCCAGACATGGAAAAACCCGTACAACTTGACTATGGCATTGTTCTTAACTTCAAGAATGGTGTGAAGCTCAAGGCCATTAAAAGAACAGAGTATACTAATACACCAATATAACTGGTGGTGAATTGTATAACCAGTCATTAGCCAGGTGTCTTTGCTTCCAGAGTAAACAATAAATAATTATCTTAATAGCGCCTTGAGATGAAAATTCTTATAAGATGCCGTCATATCTTATCTTGAAGTACTTCTTGTTACTCGGACAAAAAAAGTTAAGAGACTTTTTGTTTTGACAAAATCCAGAACGCAATCGATCCTAAAGAGTTGTGTTTCGAGGGTTTCCTAAATTTCTGTTTCTAAAGAATCCAAGTTAGGCTCGCTTGAATTTGACCATTTTACACCTGACAAAAAAAAAAAAAGGATCATTTACCCAGACAGGAATGCCCCATGGAATGAACAATTATACAAATGGCGAGGCCTCAAGTAACATCAATAACAAGCCTAGCGCAAGCCATAGGTAATTCAATTCGAATTTAGGGAACAACAAGATGTTGAACTTGGAAATTTAATACAACGATCATACAAATCCATCACATGATTTGAAGCAGCCTCTCATCCTCACCGTCCTTTCGTTGAGCACTTGTCCATGTGGGTGGGCAGGTAAAATGGCCTTGAGAAGTTGATAGAAGGGTCAGAACCCGAACCGTCTGTGCTTTTGGAATCCCCATTTGAGAAAATCCCTGACCTTTTCAGGAACTGAAACTCATCCATGGATTGCTGCCTTTGACTTCTGTGATACCCAGCATTGCTTGCCTTTTGCTTTGCCTTGGTTGACTCGGTGAGGTTCATGTAACTAGGCCTACTCACGGTGCTATCCTCGGTCCTTTCAGAGGTCAGCACGGTGTTCCCAGATATGGGAGTTGCGGAAGTGCAAATGGAAGATGAAGCAGAGCTCTCATCATATCGAAATTCAGAACTTGGACTTGAGGATGAACGTGTTGTTTGCCCAACAATAGGTGGCCTAGCTGAGATCCTCGTGCTGACATTGTTCTTTCTGACTTTGACTAAGCCTGGCTCTGTAGGTTTTGAATTTTTGTTTGCCAAGGAATCAACAAACTTCTTAGGAGGTGGGGTTTTACTTTTATCAGGGGCCTCGGTCTGGGATTGTTCCATTAACCTAGTTTCCCAGGGCTTGGCTGCCATCCAACGTTCCAACCAACTCCATCCCCAGTTAGACTTGTCGATCTCCAAATTCTTGAGAGGGGCACTTGTTCGTGCATTTGAACAAGGGGTTGATCTCCATTGCTATAACGGTTTTCCAAAGAAAACAAAGTTTTAAACCAATTCCTTCTAAGATAAAAGAACATTATGAAAAAAAGTGAAAAACTGGCTTCACTTTGTTACCTTCTGTGCAAGAGAATACGCAATTGCTCTCTCTCTCTTGAAGGCTCCTTCCTGTCTCATCTGTAGCTTAGCTTTGACATCTTCCAATGTTCCTTTGCTATCACACCATCCCTCCTGAATATAAACAACAAAATCCCACTTGTGTAAAACCATGTCTAGCGAGAGGGAGAGTAATAGATTATCATGACTAAGGATAACGATGAGACCTCAGCTTGCTTTAAGAGGTCAGCCTGGATGCGACGTTCATCAAGCATCATTTGCACAGCTTGCCCCTCTATGGACATTCGAACACGACGAGCCCTCACTCGGGCTTGAACACGAACCAGAGCCTGCATGCACCTCAATGTCACTGCAGCCTGCTTCCTTACTTGTCGACCTCTCACAAGAGCTTGGAGCCTTACCACTCCTTTCAAGGCCCTTAAAGCCCTTCTTGCCTACAGTTACACCAAAATACTTTAGCAGCAGAGAAGCAATACAGTAGTTCTTCTAGTCATTTTGCTTCTTTTCATTCCAGATTTCGTTTAGGCGATGGAGATCTGAACTACCATTAAGAAACTAGGTTTAGCAGCTTCCAAGTTTTTCCACTTTTATACGGGATTGATTGACTTAATCATATCTCGTTATCTTTAAGAAAAGATAGAGCGTTACTATGTTTCAAAGATCTGTAGGTCCTGATGATGAAAATTTTAGTTCTTTAGTTTAACTTCTCCCATGGACTGCTTGAAATAAAACCATCAACGGTGTTTTCAAATTACGTATCAAACGATGCAAGATCTATAATGGCATAAAAGTTGATAGAATCTCCTTTAAAAAAGAAGAATGTTGACAAATCAAAGACCTCACATCATTACGCGAAGTTTTAAAAGCCCATTGTTAGTCACTGCGTCCAATCAAAACCAAAAATAACATACAGCTTAGAGAAGTCATCATTAAGCTTTTCAACAAAACAGAACAAATAAAGGAAAAAGGAAAAGAACAAAGACAAAGGAAAAAAAACAAGAAAAAAGAAAGAGTGAGCAGAAATCATACCAAGAAACCGCGAAAGGCAGTTTGAATTCTTATGGCTGCCCATTCTTGCCTCACAAGTCTGAAGTCCTTAGGGGGAGCTCGAATCACGGTGGCCATTGCCGCTGTGAAAGCATCAGAAACAGGAGGCGAATCAGAGCCCTCGGAGGCAGCTCTGTGGTTTCCTTTGAAACCTTTCCAGGAAGCCATATCCCCAGAAGAGCTCCTCCATAGCCTCCACTTCTTGCTCTTGCCACCACTCTCCTTGGCCTAAAAGCAAGTCGGTGTCATCACAGAGCACAACAAAACAAGTTGGGAGTTGGAGGATAAAGCAATAAACTTGAGTAAAGTAGCATACAGACTTACATGGTCATCCTTATCAGACTTCCTGAGTCCGATTAATGACCTCACCCATTTGGCAGAAGCACCCATCCCTGGGCAGTAAAGAAACCGACTTGCTCCTGAACGAGAAGAGAGAACTGAAGCAGAAGAAGATGGAACAACGAGTGGGATGGTAGAGAGAGAGTATGAGGGTGAAGGTGGGGGAATATGGGACGTAAGAAGAAGTGGGAGATTTGAAATTCAAAAGGGAGTGGCAACGGGCGAGACTGGGTTGGGAAAGGGGAGAGGGAGCTCGATTGTAGAGAAGGGAGACGTGGGGCCCAGCTTGGCCCAGGGATAACCATGAAAAGGGCCAAAGCCTTTGTGGTAAAAAGCGAAGGGAAAGGGTAACAAAGGGCCAAATTGCTATCAGACAAAGGATCTTCCGAGTCAGTGCAGTTATGATCTCTGCCCCTTTCTGCTTTTCCCATCTGGCCATTCCTCCTCGCCCAATCATATTTGAAGTTTTAGCATCTTCATAAAAATTGCACCATAATTATTTACCAAAACAAGAATGTCATTTTAAATTACTAATCAATAAAGCATTGCTTCGACACATTTTAGTACTAAGTTCAATTTCAATTCCACGAATAATCTTTCCGCGGATCAAATGACGTTAAAAAGATATGGATGCGAATTATAGAGGGCTAAGTCGGCATGAATGGTTGCTGGTTTAGGCATTAAAAATAAAAAGAAGAAGCACTCTTTAGGGGATTAACAGTGAGTTTGAAACGGAGCAATGAAAATGCGGAAACGTGGAAACCTTGGATTGAAGGAAACGTGGAAATTGGGACCAACTTTTTTAGCGCATTGGAAAGTATGGGGGGATTCAATTCAAATGAGGCGACAAAGCTCATCGAGAATAGTGAAGCATCCATCATCAACAAAGGTGCCGTGCTGTCTCAGAGATCTGGCTCCCACCCACACTTGTGAAAGGCATACAGGACAACACAAAATAAAGGAGGAAGCCCATTTTGCAACAAGAGTCAAAGGAAAAGCGGGTCCCTGTTTTCAAATGCTCATTTTTTATTCTTGTTATTATTCAACAATAACACCAATTTAGACTCAAAGAGTGCCCCCCATAACCTTAATTAAAAGAAGGAATGAATAAAAGCTCTTGGAAAAAGGAAAACATCAGAGACCCAGGTGATGAGAGGACCTTAGCTTGTCTGCTTTTGTTGCCTCAACAATGCAGCAAGCTGTTAGTAGTAATTTTTTAGCTTCAACTTCAATAATGAAATTAAATAAATAAAACCATATGTCAGACTGACAGTTCGACTGCAAAAACAATTAAAAGCCGTTGAAGGAAGGAGGAATACAATGCCATAAAAAGCCTCGGGCGTTGTTACTTTATTGTTAATAAATAAATGCCGGGGAATTTTTCCAGACATTGGACCATTATGTACTTGCAACATTCAACAAGTTCCCAGTCAGCATACCCGTGGATCACAGATCAAGGTTCTTGACAGTTAGAGTTGAGGACGGATTCAGCTCTAAAGAGTTTAAGTTTTAAAATTCGATTTTTTATTTTAAATCCTATTTTTCAAATCCGGCCTTTATGTGAAGGGTTTAGGGTCAAACTTGTAAATCCTTTTTCAAAAAAATAAAAAAAATTAAACATTATAAATTAATTAAAATATTTTGAAATTAAAAAAATAAAATTCTCATAATTTTTTAAAAATTAAACAACACACATTTAGAAGTCTAGTAATAAAATTTAAATCTTGATTAAAAATAATTCATTTTTTATAAATATGCAAACACAATAATTATAGAAAAATAAAAAATATCAAAAATTTTATACTATACACTGATATTTATTAAATTATATTAAATTAATTTTAGAAGAAATTAAAATTAATAATAATATAATGTGTGTAGGATCAAATGAGTAGGTCATTGGCTTCAAACACGTGTTTTACCAAAAAAAAAAAAAAAATAATAATATAACAGGGCTTGAAGGGCTGCCCGAGCCCGAGTCCTTTTTTACAGGGCTTATCAGGACCAAGCTCTTAAGCCCGATTACTTTAAAAAAAATTATTTTTAAAGCCCGAACCTTTATTTAAACAGGGCTTCCAAACCCGACCCTTCAGGTCCGACCCTTATTCTCGACTCTATTGACAACTATCAAAAGCAAGTGCTGCCTGCAGATATAAATTGCTTGAGTTCGGATTTATATAGTTTTAAGAATCATCTGAAATACAGAGATATTAACAGGCATTGAATCAGGTATTCAAAAACAACAGGGACACCAAACCAAACAATCATCCATATACTAAGTTACTACTGGACCATATGAATTGAGGTTTCATTTTTTTCCGTAACTTTTTTAGTGTCCCTAAATTTTTTCTTTACATGTCATATCACGTGTGATGTTAAATTCAATCATCAAATTGCTTCCATCTCGTTTTCACTTTTTTGCCTTCTATATATTTAAAGACATTTCTTATTGAACCAAAAAACACATTCTTACTGTCCTGCAGTGGAACCATCCTACGGTTACCAAAAAACTAACCAAGTACAAAATGCCCCGTGATTCGACCAAAGTGTGGTCCAGCCAAGTGGCTCAAAATAAAATAGAGACTTCAATGCATTTGAATAAAGTGTAAAAGTGATGGGGATGACTCAGCAAATAAGAGTCGTTCTCCAAGAAAACAGGGCACGTGATGCAAAGGACTCGAAAAACTCATTTTAGTCTTTATAACCGAAAACTAGATAGGGCCTTGCCATAGATTTAACAATTTGTGTTAATTAATATTAAAATAGAAAATCAGTGATGACTGCGTGATCAGATAGAGACTATCATACGGATAATTCTAATGAACATAAACCGATAGAGACTACCATACGGATGTTAAATATTGATGGTAGGAAACCTTGTAACACGAATCACCCTGAATACAATAAAATGTATAACTTTTTGCTTCACTTGCGAGGTGATAATGGAATTAGTGATCAGTGTCTGTAAGACTGCAACTATTGTTAATGGATTCGTTGTGGCCTAAAACCAAAAAACGAATTGTCAGTGACAGAATGAGCAGTGAACAATTATGAAGAGGAAACTGATAAAGACGATTTCTTCTGTTGGGGTGCTATGCCAAGCCAAGCCTTCGTCATGTCATATGTGGTGAAACTAATTGCCGCTGATGGAACAATCTGTCATCATCATAGCAAGCTACGTTATGAAGGCAACATGGGGAAACCACACAAGAAAATTACAAATTCAACCTAGGATTAGGCTGCAATCCTACTTGTGACATATTAAGATGAAACTACTTTTCTCCACCAACTAGACATAGAAGGGTGATGCTATGAGTAGGGAAAGCTCAACCTTGGATTCTTATATTTGCCTAGACATTATTCTTTATCGGACAAAAGAATACTCCTCTCGGGACAAATGTGAGAATCCAAGACATTATTCTTTATCGGACAAAAGAATACCGCTCTCGGGACAAATGTGAGAATCCAAAGGATTCTGCTTTTAAGGACTTGGACAGACAATCAAATCGTAAATCACTATTATTAAGTATGAACTAGTATTATTGCCCAAATGGCTAATTTTTTTATGCCTGAATCGTTACATTAAGAATGAAACCAGTGTGGCCCGATAACACAAGATGCATTTGTCACCCAACTGAACAGCCATCTTTGGGAAATATCAGCTCTGACGACTTGGTACCACAACATGAACCAAATTCACAAATTACAACCCATTTCATTTAACTCAATTTCATGAATTCCACTTCACGCTAAAGCTTTTATACACTCCCGCGCAGCAGAGATCAGATCAGTCGATCCCAAAAAAAAAAAAAAAAATTTAGATATCAATCAATTCCAGATTTTGGGGAATGAGTGACAAAACATTAACCCATTTATTAACAAAAAAACTCCATATCAAAATGAAAGTTTCCTGCTGAGACTGCATTTGGCAGAGGTTCATTCTATTTGGTAGCTAAAACTAAGTTAAAACATGTTGAAAAGATATTTAACAAAAGTTTGGGTGTGTGGGAATTACCCTAATGTAGTTTATGCTTACGCCTGCAAACAACTGCCTCCATCCTTGATTAGCAACAATAATCCTAAGTCCCTCAAACGCATTCCTGTATCTGACATCACCATGAACCAAATTCTGCAGGCTGCCAACCTGAACAAGCAAAAATAAAATTACGAAAGCTCAATAGACATGCCTTGTAAGGTTCCACGTTGACAGAAAAGGGTGTTCCATATTATGGAAGCTGCCTAGACAGTCGATAGCATAAGCCCTCTAGCATCAAATTTTCAACTAAAATATACATACACATATAACCAAGTAAAAGACTAAGTTTTGCACTGATGATACAGGGTTGTGTTGACACACCTGCATCTGTCTCTTAACAACATCTAAAGGGTACGTCAAAGTCTGTCCAAACAAGCCAGCAAGAGCTCCACAAGTGAGGCGCATCAAAATGGACTTTCTATGTTCCTCAGGCACATGCATCTTCAATTTCTCATACATGTAGAACTTCAAACCAGCGTATGGAAGAATTCCAGTAATGGTTGGTCCTAAAGGGTAAAAACAAAAAGAGTTCCAGCATGGATGGGATAAAAAATCAGATAAAGCAGAGAAATGCAAGAAATAATGACAGCAACATGCTAAAAAAACAAGCAAGCCTTCCACAGACAGCAGCGTTCTTTATCAATAGCCACTAATGCTTAACATGAAATGGACCAATAAAATTGTATGGCTAAATCCTGAGATATACATACCTACACCCCTATAAAGTCCACGAACTCCCCCTTCCTTGTAGGCACTTGTAAGCACACATTTAATTCCGTGATGTGCTGGTTGAGAATGAACATCTTTCATGCCATCTTGGATACTTCCTCGTACATCTACCACCTATAATATTGTGACAACGATGAGATTGCATGACGCAAGCAATTCTATCCTTAAAAGACAACCTCTACTTACTGAAATGGATATAATACCACTAACAGAATAAATTTATGAAAGAAAGAGTACAGGTTTGACTCATATCGAGGTAGACGTAAACTGTTCGCATGATGCAAGAATTAAAACAATCTAAAGTTGATGAATGTTCTTATTTTAAGTGACTCAAGGACATTCTTAAAAAAACAAAGAAAAAATAACCAAAAAGGATTGCTGCAAGAAAAGTGTCACATAATTAGGTCTTTTTATAAGTTCCTCCAAATATATCACAAGTTCATTGGAAAATGTTTTAGAAAGCACCTAAGCCACTTTATCAATGGATGATATATATATATATATATTAATACCTGAGGGTCAGAAGAGAATTAAAGAGAACAGGGCATATTCCATTCAAGAGGCTTAAGTTGAAACACAATCTACCAACAAACTGTCCTAAATGCGAATGAATCTTAAAGCCAACATTCTTCAAGCTAGTCTCTCAGTTTTCATTGTCTTGGATCTTTTAACATGCTATTGAATGCACTGCTACTCATAGTTGACTGTGTCACCTTTTATGAGATCAATCAAAGGCCATTGGTATTTAAACCATAAATATCATTCTTGTTCTTTCTGATCTATTTCTTATCAAGCTAAAATTTTGCCAAAGTCTACCCAGGCATGCTTTAAGTGTTATACAATCAACTGACACCGTGATAAATTCTTTGCTGGTCTACTTTGGAAGTTAACACAATGTCTTCCTCTGTCACCTCTTTTCCCCCAGTTGAAAAAAATGACAAATATAAGGAAATGCGGGGTTCGCAATATAAAATTGAAGATAGATTTGCAAGAAAGGAGACATGTGGCTCAAATATTTTTGAATGGGTCAAAATGTTTAGTGGGGTTACCTACCTGATAAGCAAGTTTTGTACGAGCAAGGTCCAAAGGATATGTACATAAAACAGAAGTGGCTCCAGCTGCAGATCCGGCTAAAAGATCAATAACAGGACCTGATCCTAACATTGGACAATTCTGCAAGATCCAACACTTGTACCGCTCATATGTCATAAAATGCAAGGCAGCATAAGGAATAATCCGGATAACACTTGCTCCATTTCCTCTGAAACCACAAAATAAGCATATGTAAACCATAACAATAGAGTACCTGCGGACCAAAGAAACATAGAAAAGGGTGTAGAGAACAGGAAGTTCAACTTACTTGTATAATCCTGGCAAACCTTCATTCTTCGTTAACTTACTTAGAGATTGATAAACACCAAGAGAGTGAAATCCTGGTGTCCTTGTCTGCGGGTAAAAAAGAAAAAAAAAAGAAATTTAGGGGAGAAAAGGAATAAAGCAAAACACTCGCACCAATTAATATATCATAAGCGAAGAAGTTACAAGGGGTAAAAAACGCATACTGATGCGTTTGCCAATGCACACAGTCTCGTGTGTGTGTGTATAACACCTGATATGCCTAAGAAACCAGAATTTTCAGCATTTTGAAAAGAAGATAGAGAAGCAATATCTATCCACGCAGGAGGTAATGAGCTCTAGACACCTTATATTGCAAGCATGTAAACACTTCCAGATTATCTTCATCTTGCACGTGTTACGAATCAGAATTTCCAGCTTTCCATAATATATTAAGGATAAAACATATCCAGGAACAATGGCAGCAGAATAGTAAAATAAAGATGTTTTTATCATTTTACATTAAATTAAACTCAATTCAGGAATGATATAAAGAGAGAGGTAAAAAAGGATTCTCAGCTTTACCTGCCAGAGTATTTTGACCCGCTCGAGGGGCGCGACCGCAGTCCTAGAAAGTGCACCGGCAAACCCCCCGGCAATTAGCTCCTTGACATACACAGGCATGCCATCGAGATTGGAAGTTTTCTTCTTAAGTGATGCATTATCCACTAAACCAGCAACGTTTGCGGATAGCGCAGATTCTTGTGATGAATCCATTATTGATAACTCCGAATAAAATGGATAAGTGTTGTAAGCTTAACAACTTTATTTATCCACCCTGAAGCTCGGAGAACTCCTTGTTCCACCTTTGTATTGAAATGCAGAATGAGAAGTCTATTTGTTCAATGGGCAAATCCAATGGCCTGAGGACACCCAGGGATAAATTGGGTACGTTCACAAGCCGATCCCTTTCAGCAACGATTAGATACATCAACAGCGAGGAAGAAAAAGACTTCAATTCCAACAACTCAGACGAGTCTGTTACACAAATAATAGAATGATCTGTTGGATCGTCGCACTTTCAGGATTGTTAAGAATACCAAGGCTTGGGGCAGAACCACAGTTCTTTCAATCTATGTCGATGCGATCAACGCCCGAGTGAGAATGATTCATAGCGTCTAAATGTCAAGAAAATAACCGGCAATAAAGGCCAGATGAGAAAGTCCCCTTCAAATTATACAATGCACGCACAAATTGAACAACAGGCAATCCGCGTGCTCTGATAGGTGAATCCAAACATGACGACAGTTGGTAGAAAAGAGGCAGATTCAAAGTCAAAGAACGGATGATGGGTTCAAAGGAGAACAGACAGGTATGGAAGAATAGAAACGGGAAACGGATACCCGTCCTCCTCCCTCTAGAGAAACTTTGGGTCTGACGCCTTTTCTTAAAAGAAACCCAGCAGGAAATTGGGGAGATGCGAATGTGAACGGAAGCTTCGATTATTTCGGGGAAGGAAGGAGCGATTCTGATTCTGATGTGGCAGGCAAGTCAGTCAGCGAATGGCTGTTTGCAATTCGATTTGCGGTGGAATTCCCTCGGCCTTGCGTTTTACACACGCCAAAATTTAAATTTTAAAGCTATACTCCCTTTCCCTTTTTTTTTTTTAACATCACTTTTAAACAATTTATCAAAAATAAAGGTAAGATAGGTTAAAATAAAAAAATTATTTTAAAATAAATTACTTTTTAATTTCATCTCTAAATTTAAAAAATATTTAAAATATGAAAAGAATGTTTTAAAAAATTACAATAGTGCACTTCTTTTTAAATTTTCTTACAAAATAATTTGAAAATTAAACACCAAATGTTATAAAAAAAAGAGAAAATAATTTATATAGAGAATTGGGATAAGATGTGACTTATTAAAAATCATTATTTTTTTAAATTTTAAAAGAAACCTAGGGCCTAGGGCCTATTTATCCAGATTAAAAAATAAATTATTTTTACGTAATTTAAAAATTTTATTAAAATATATTTATTTTATAAAAAATTTATAAAAAAGTAAACATTATTTTATATTTAATTACCACAATAAAAATAATTATTAGTTAATTATTTTTAAATTTTATAATATTTTTTAAATTTTGTTTTATAAAAATAATTTGTTATTATATTATTTTAAAATTTTATAATATTTTCATGTATTTTATTTTTTTAAAATATTCTCTTCCATTTATGATATTAAATTATTTTTAAGAATAACTTCTTAAAATAATTAAAAAATATTTTTTTTGAATTATAATTATTTTAAAAAATTTTAAAAACATCATAAAAACTCATAAAATAAATTTTAAATAATTAAATAATTTTTTTAAGAAATAACTCAAAACAAATGCGCTCTTGTCGGCCAAAACAAGCCCTAAATAACAATAAGAAACCAAAATTAATCGTTTACATAAGCCTTCCAATTTCAGGCGTATCAATTCTTTTACACCGCAGAAAAAGAAAAAGAATGCTGTCACATTTTTGTCGAGGATATTCAGATTTTGCTTTGTTCCATACTTTTGCTGTTTTTGCTTGTTTGGTTTCTTCCTTCCATTTTATTTATCAAGGTTTCCCCCTTTTGAATAAAGGGAAAAAACGTGTTATGTTAAAAAAAATAATCACAATACATTGTATAAAAAAAATAATACAGAAAACAAGAGTAGTAAAGTACTTTTAATTAAAGTCCTCATGCTTTTCTCTAATCAATCATAGAGAACTCTTCTCTATTTTAGAGATATGCACAACCATTTTTCTAAATTTATAAGCTTTATATATTCAAATACTTCCTCCCTACTTTTAATATCTTATTTTTATTTTTATAACTCACCAAATTTTTTTTTTACTGAAATATCTCTCCATAACGTAAATAACAGACTAAACAATCTGTACGAAAATGTTTTGAATTTCATTAATATCTCAAATAAAATTTTGTGAAATTATTTTGTTCAAAAATTAAGCTCAATATAGAATATAAATTTAATCTAGTAGTAATTTTCACTGTTAAAAAAAATAAATACAGAAACATATTAATTTTCTATGTTGCTTTATATATACAAATACTTCCTCCCCCACCTTGTTGTTATAAAGCGATAAATGATGAAAGGTTGGCTACATCTATTTAATAGGTGGATCATCTTGTAGTGTAACTTCCTGTTTGTACTGTTTTGGTTTTAATTATATATAGATTTATCCTTTTTTATTCTAAAAAAGGATAGTTAGAGGATAAAGTAAAGATATCTCGTGAATGAAATGGTAACTTTAAAAAGATATTATCATTCCTAAAAATATTAAGGTTATTTATGAATTTTAACTTTCTATCTTAATCTACGTGATTAATTTTAGATTAAAAAGATGTTATATCATGGGTGGCAAGGAATAGTACTGCTGGCTAGCTCACTGGTTTTACTTCTTGTGTGGGAAATTTCCCCCCTCTCAACGTAGATATTAGCGTTATTTAGGAGACGGAATTATGCTTACATAAAGGATTTCAAAAAATCAACAGGAACAAGATTCTCCAATGGAACAAGATTTAGTTCCTTCTGAAAAGGCTAAAACTCCACCGCCTTCAATCGACTTTGGAAGAAAAATCATCTCTTATAAAGACTCACTTCTAGGCTACAACGGCGCAGCTAATGGAGCTATGAGCTCACAAAAAGAAGATGCTTTTGACTAGAAACCTCTTGAATCATTTGAAGTGTTCAAAGAACTCATGAACCATTACCTCGTCGTCGAAGTGACACAAGAAGAAAACAGCACCTGATGTCAGCCATAGAACTTTGGCCTCGTCGTGACTATGCTCGGTAAGAGAATGACCCTTAATAGCATGAAATCGTGGCTCACGCATTTTTGGGAATGCAAGACTTGCATGTAGTCAATCTACCCAATAACTACTTTGTAGTAAGATTCACCGATAAAAATCTCTATCAGCAACACTATAAAATTGCTCTTTTTGAAGGCCCTTGGATTGTTTAAAAATATTGCTTAGTGGTTCAACGTTGGACCCTATATTTTGACCCCATGATCAACACTCTAGGTAGAATGGCCGTCTGGGATCGCATTTCAAAGATTCCAATGATGTATTACAACAAACATTTTATTTGGAGGCTTGGAAATCATCTCAACCGAACCTTACACATTGATCTGAATACTCTTTCTAAGAAGGCCATCCTTGATTCTAATACTGAACATGGCCATTTTGCCTAAGTATATGTTGAGCTTCACCTCTAGAAAGGCCTTATCCCTCGCGTTATTATTGTGAACAAAATTTTCAATGTGGAATATGAGGGTCTCGGCTTCATCTGCTTCAACTGTGGGTAGTACAATCATCATAAAGAACTATGCCCTTATCACTCTCAAGCCTCAACAGACACTATGATGATTTTACCACAGCCAGCAGAAAATCTTTCATTGACCGATAACATCCATAGCTCTTAGATGATTTCTCTAGCCATGTCTAAACCTCGACTCTCGAGAAGAGAGATGACAAAAGCTGGCCTACATAGGCAAGGGAGAGGCTCGAGGCCACAGTTGAAAGAGATAGGTTTAAAGCAACAAAATAGCTTTGCTATTTATGAAGAAACTGATAATGCCATGGTACTTGATGATAATATCCCTTGCACGAATAGGGAAAGATCACCTGCTTATGTTAGCATAGATGAGGAGGTCAACAAATCCTCTAAGTCTAATTAAAGATCCAATCATTCTAAGGTTGCTACCACTACATCAATGAGTCAAGTAAACCTACCTTTTAGTTCAAAAATAAGGATCCTAGATGCCCTTTAGGCCTAGTGAATGAAGATTGACCTTTGCCCAAGACACCCCTTAAGATCAAGGAAGGAAGAGTAGCTTAAAACACTAAGGCTCCCTTTGGCATAAGAAACTAAGGACCTAGAGCCCATGTTGTTGTAAGGCCAGATTAATCAATCTAGACTGGTTAACAAGGAAAAGACCATTTACCTAAAGGAAGATTTAAGTAAGGATACCCACATCCAACCTTCACAGTCTGAGATAAATGCGATATGTCACCTATCTCCTCCCAAGTCTGCTATTACTAAGAATTCTCCACCAAAACCCTCAGATCTCATCCAAACTCTACCTGATGGATCTATGGAAGAAATGCAAGGCCTTAAGCATTTACTCTTGTCATGGTGAAGTTACCTAAGAATAATATTGTTGCAACTGTGTAACTCAATGGAGACCAATAAACCCTGCTCCTTTCTCTGCCATTTCTCTTTTATGATTTTAGCTTTTTAGAACTGTAAAGGTGCCACTAGGCCTACCTTTCCCTTGCTATCTGAGATATTATTGCCAAGTATTTGATTGATGTTCTTTACCTAATTGAAACACATGTAAGTAGGCCTTAAGCCGACAAAGTTGTCCACAAACTAAGATTCACTAATGGATCTGATTAGAAGCCATAGGCTATGCCAATGGCATTTAGGTCCTTAGTGTAATGATAAAATTTCCATTGATTACATCTCTTCTAGTGTTCAACTTCTACACTATCAAGTCACTAACCACCTTTCTAATACTTCTTTCACCATCTCTTTTATTTATAGTGATCCTAATCCAACTAGATGCAATCATTTTTGGCACAATATTTGTGACATTGCTCTTACCATTGATAATGATCAACTTCTCCTTAGTAATTTCAACTCTTATTTGAGCACTTCTGACAAATCTAAAGGTGGTCCTCCTAATTGGTTGTCTATAAACCAATTTGCTAATTGCATTTATAAAGTTAGCTTGAGAGAGATTAACTTAATAGGCAACCCCTTTCACATAGGAAAGAAACCATATTAAGGAGCATCTTGATTGGGCTTTGTATAACTCCTCTTTGGTAGATAACTTTAGTGATTGGAAAGTTTATTATCAACTTTGTAATATCTTCAAATACTAATCTCATTAAAAACTATAACTCAAGGTAATTTAGGGATTAACCCATAAAGAGATTATCAAGTTTGTAATTTTAAATAATGAGATCCCAAGTTTTTATAATTTTAAAATTAGTCAAAACCATTCACTAGACCTTTAATTAGAGTAAAATATTGTTACAAAAAAGATAAGTCAAAATAGTTTGAAAAATCTCCAGGTTCTGAAAATAGACAGTACGTTATAGCTTACGTATGATACGCCATGGCTTGCCATTTCTCTGTGCCACATACCGTATCGTGTTGCATGTTTTATGATAGTATTTTGTTGTCATTTGAGAGTAGATTCGGGCAACTTTTGGTGTACTTCATTTCTATCCGACATCTAAATAAAATGATCTAAGTATCTACAAAAAGCTCATAACATAAACTAGTTAATGGCTTCACTTTTAAATCAAATTACACCAATTAGCACCCAAATATATTTCACAAATTTTCTCAACTTTCTCAACAAAAAGGGTGCCCACAACCCTTTACAAGGGCCAAAAGTCATTCATAATAGCTAGACCATATTTATTAGACCTAAGACTAATAGTACAATACAC